GCAAATCATGCCTCTTTCCCATCAATCCAAAATGTGAGGATGACAATATTAGCTGACTTCACAGAAGGTGTCAAGGTTTGATGGTGGGAAGGAGAGGAGAGACACTGATTACTGTGTTAAGTACTTTATAGCCTCAAGACCCAGTTCTGTCATGTCTAGGTATAAGTGCTCACAGAGGGTTCTCAGCTTTTGAACGCAGCTCTCCAGAGTTTCCTTTAAAAGCAGCTTGCTCTGTTGATATTAGCAGGTAACAATGCCAATCTCCGTATTTGAGAAATGAAACATTCACTGCAGCTTAAGACTCCTTGAAAATGTCAGTTTGGGGAAGGACACTTTGGAGTGTTGGAAGAAATGTCCATCTGGATTCAGTTTCAAGTGGGAAGAAAGACACTGGAAACATGGAGACTGCTTGGAAAGATGGTTCAGTGGTGGACAGGACCACATGGGATTTTGGGGGGTTCTGGGTAAAATGAGCACATGGAGTGGAGAGAGGAATATTTTTATACCTTCTCTTGGGCCCTGCCTTAGAGTTTCCTGTTCCTCTACAAGAAATGTATCCCATTGGCTGTCAGACTCCCAGGGAGCGGGGGTCTTAGTTAACTTAGTAGGCTGTCTATGTCCTAGGCCTGGTTGAATCTTACTAGGTGATGATGTAATGAAGGGGCTTTGTGCAATTCCTATCATGTCCTGAGGGCCATGTCTTTTGTGTTGTAGATAAACTGGCCCAGCCTTTTGTCTTGCAAATAACTGCCTCCCTGGGGGCAGGGAGCTGGGGCTGAGTTTCTGTCTTAAGATTTCTATTTCTCTTTTAGGGGAAATATTCTGCCTTTTTAATATTTCCTAGAAATATAAATATTTCATTTTTCTAGAAGAGGGGTGGGTGCTAACTTCCTACAGAAGCTCATGCTGCCTCCATGTTTTATCACTTTCCAAACTGTCCTCTTTAGGAGATTATATCTATCTCTTATGGTGCATAATGTAAGGTGGGTCATGATGTTTTTAGTCAATTAATGGTCTTATTCCAAACTTTATTCTTCTATTTGAGGATATAATCTGTTTTAAACCAACAATATGCATTAGCCCATAATATTTCTTTGCTTTTGATTTAGCATGTTGCGTGGATCCAGCTTTATGAAGGTTTATGAAGGATTCTTATATACAACCCAGACCACGGAGATATTCAGCAAACCACAATAAAATAAATGATGGCATAATTCAATGCATCAGGTCAAACTCAGGAATGTACCATAGATTTGTTTTATAAAATAATCCATAATATGCATAGATCATGCTAAACAAACAAACCACATTATTATTTAGTATGATGTGTGAACTTTATACTTGTTAACTGAGGCATAATTAAATCCCAATGTAGTGTTTTTGCTTGTGTTTAGTGTGTTGAGGGAAGGTAGACAATATGATTTCTAAGTCATGGGTTACCATTTAAAATGTTACTGCATGTGAATTTAGATAATTTATCCATTAGGGCAGGATTAAGAAAACTATGGCATCATATGTTAGATTTTTGTTACAACCATAGCTGTATTAAATATAAATACCCAGGTTTATTGTATTGTGCCAACAAGCCTTAAGATTGAAACACTTTTTTTTCCTGGTTTCCTGGAATGTTCACCTAATCCTGCCACTTTCCTTCATTTAAAAATTATCAGAATGTCAGGGACAATACAAGAGTAAAAGCCTTCCTTTTCCATCCATAAATATTACCTGTGAATTAGGGACGGTTACTGAGATTAGAGAAATTGGTGAAGATACCATTCAAAGAGAGGTCAGGAGATGCAAATAATGAAAGTAAATGGCTAAAACTGAGGCAGGAGTGGAGCAGAGAGATAAGTCCTTGTGGAAAAATTAGAATTTCTACTATGCATGTTTTTTTTTTATCATATAGGAGTCAAAAGCTGCACAGAGCTTAATATAACTGTTTCATCTCAAAACCCCACCCCTTCAAAACATCTGTTTTGCATATCAAAGGTCCCAGGGTTAATCCCCACCACTTACAGATTTTAGAATTAAGTGAAAAGTACAGCAATTTTTGAACAAACCACTGCCTTAAATTCTCTTCTTCCTTCCTCTATTCCACCCCCACTCCCCGCAAATTGTGCAAACCAAAAACCAAACAACATCCTGGATAATTGGAGTGCAGAAAAAAGCTGGCACAAGCCAGTGCAGCCTTGGTAATTTTGGACCTATGGTTTTGTGGTCAATTAGAGTAAAAACCTGAAGTCTCATGTTAACGAATGTAGCCAATTAAAGCTGCTTGGAATGATTCTCAGCCATAAGCCAGAGGTGCTAAAATCCCCACTTCTGCACAACTATTAATGGGATAGGCAGGGCTGAGTTTAATATGGGCCCGCAGCAAATGGGGAAGAGTGCTATGTTTATCCCATTTGCACAGGAAGAGCTCTTTGGTTCTTTCCCCATTCCAGTTTTTTTCAGCAAGACTTCCAAGAATGTTGCATTGCAGTATCCAAAATTAAGATACAAATTGTTATTGTTAGCACAGTATATAGAACTCTATGGTTAAAGAAAAAGATTTCCTTCATGAAGCCTATTTTCTAACAACATGACACTTCTCCCATTTGTAATATGTGTGGATGTATGTATGCATCCACAGCCAAACCCCCCCCCCCCCGCCATAGCTTCTTCAACCTTATTTTTTTCCATTTTCTCCAGAAGAGACCTGATCACTTTTAATTCTTGGACTAAGTGCTTTTGAGTATGTGTAGAAAGTCTCTAACTGAAGAACTCACAATGTATTGAGTTTTAGAAGAATCATACTGCATAGTAGCTGTTACATTTCACAGGGAGTGTTTTCCTAGCAAAGTCAAGGAGTACTTTGTCTTGAAAATTAGTTATTTCAAAATAATACTGTACAGTGCCAGAGACAGAAAGTGAAGCCTAGCACATTCAGCTCAGTGCTTAAGAAGCATGTTCTGTGCCAGTTGGTACAATTAGGAATACAGATGGTCCTCAACTTATGACCACAATTGATCCCAAAATTTCTGTTGGTGAGGCAGTAACTTTTGCCTCATTTTACAGTTTTTCTTGCTACAGTTATTAAGTGAATCACTACAGTTGTTATGTTAATTACATGGTTGTTAAGCGAATCTGACTTTGCTTGTCACATGGTCGTAAAAGGTGATCACATGACCCCAGGACACTACAACCATCATAAATATGAGTCAGTTGCCAAGCAGCTGAATTTTGATCACATGACCATAGGGATGTTGCAATGGTCGTAAGTGTGGAAAATGGCTATAAGCCACTTTTTTCTGTGCCATTGTAACTTTGAACGGTCACTAAATGAACTGCTGTAAGTTGAGGTCTACCTGTAGTACAGGATTTTGGCCTCTCAAGGAGCTGTGCCTCAGAAAGAAGATTTTCAAACAGGCTGCTGTTGGTGAAAATCCTGAGAAATTCTCCACCCACCCATTTGATACTCCTCTTGGAACTCACCAGCAGCTAGATCTGAAGAATTGAAGGGCTTTGTAGCCCATATTTTTATTTGTTTAATTAATTGCATTTTTTTTTGCAATCGGTAACAATCTGGTGGACAGGTATTGGCTGGTAAGAATTCTCATATTGAATGTAGGGTTGTTGTTTTTTTAAAAAATATTTTGGTTTCCGCTCACGCTAATTCCTTCCTACCATGCAACTTCTACAGTATTTATTGAACAGTATACTCTTTACTTTATGTAGCATTTTTATTGTTAGTGAAAATAACTCCAGTTGATTCTCCAGTTGACCCTACTGATAAAAGTCTAAGAGCCATTCAACTCAAGTTATCTTCTCTTCAACTAGCCTATTGATCCCTCTCTGTCAGTTCCTCTTGTCCAAAAGGAACACACACACTGAAACATGATCTACCAACCAAGATCAGGACAAGGGGCATCTGTAGCAGAAAAAAATAGCCATAATAATCAGCAGAAGTTTCAGAAATAATAAAGGCTAAACAGTACAATTAGGAAAGAAAATACAGAATGAAGTCATGTTAAGAAAGCTTGATCAAAGCCACCCAGGAAGCAAAGTCACTGAGATTGTACCTAGTATTTTGTCCAAAGATTTTATGGAAAAACAGCAAATAATTCTATCAAACTCATGCAGTGTTCAATAGTTCTTCAGAATCAAGGATTACTCAGAGAAATTCCTGATATTTCTTCCTCCTCCTATTTTACCCTGAAGTCACTCAGTCTTCTCCTTTCAGTTCTTGGTTCTTTGTTTTAGTTGTGGTTATTCTACTGCTTGGGGATTGCATAGTATCTTCAGGAACAAGAATTTGAGCTTACACTACATGGTCAAAGTGGTTAAGTGGCACCAGGCTAGAAAGTGGGAGACCATGAGTTCTAGTTCTGCCTTAGCCATGGAAGCCAGCTACTCTCTCTCAATCCACTTTACAGGATTATTGTTGGGAGACAATAGAAGGAAGGTGTGTTGGATAGGTTCATCACCTAGAGTTATTTGTAAAAATAATAAAAGCAGGATGCAAATAAATAAATTGGTTGTCCCAAGTCTGATTCTGAGACCTGAAGGTCTTTCTTAAATTGAATGGATTCCTTCTCTATTGCATCCATCTCTTCTTCTGAGAATGATTGGTCTGAGGTAGTCATGATAGTCAGACTCTGAATGGCTTTTTCAGCTCTTTCTGCTTGGCATTCTTCCTCTATATTTCCATCCCACCCTGTAACCAGTGATACAGGGCAGTATTTCAACCACTATAGCCCTCCTTACAATGGAAATGTGATGGATATCTTACATTTCTGCCCAAGATTATAATTAAAGTAAAGAAGCCAGAAGGTCCTAATGGAGAAGAGAATGGCAACAACTACAACCCTACTTTGGCTGCTATATCAGAAATCATTCTTGCCTGAATAATAGAAGCACAAACTTGTTGTCTGAGCCTCAAATCAAATAGCTCTACTTACTTTTTAAAATACAAACCTAAACCTTTCATTCTTGAAAAGGAATGAAGTAGTTAATTTCTCAATTTTAGGAATTTATTTATACTTCTTGAAAGATGCCTTCTTCCCTGTTCTCTGTAACACACTCAGCAGGGTCTCCACCTCACACTCCAAGCTGAAGCAAGGTTGCCAAACAAATTCTCTTGTTATTTAAAGGTACCAAAAGCAAAGGCAAAACTAGTTCACTTCCGTTTGGAGCTCAGCATTTCTCATTTTGGCAAAGCCAGGCTGTGTCTTCCAAATCCAGAATTATCTGAAGGACAAGCCTTCCAAACATGGGGGTGAAACCACTACACATTCTCTCCATCCAGATCCTAATTTGGGGGCAGTTGTTCCTTCTTGTCCTTCCTTGACTGTTGTTGGTTTTGGCTTGTAAAAAAAACAGCAGGATATTATCTGATTAGTTGCTTGCAGAAGATTAGAAATGCCTCCTCCCCTGCAAAAGTGGCCTCTGGAATGGTGGAAGAGACTGCTAAGTGACTGCTTTTATAGAAAGCATGCTGGAGGTATAGTTTACAGAAATTCAGGGAGCAGCCTATCCTTTGTACCCAAAGTCCTCATCAAGCAATATTGTCATCAGACAATGCCAGATCTTCATGGATTTCATTGCTTACCTAAATCAGCCTTTTCAGCCTAGTCTCCAGATCTGTATTGATGATAAATGCAAGAGATTGAGAAAATCCAAGATTGTCAGGGGAGGACCTTCTGATTTGAGTGGACTGTCAGTCAAATTCAAAATGCAAACCATTCTTCATAAATGTGTTCAGTTTTCTCTCTTTTTTTAACACAATGCATAGGGTTCTTTTAGCGGTCCTTTGGGTCTGGTTAGAAAAATAAAATTTGAAATAACACATTGTAGGTTTTGCCAGGAGTGCCATAGGAAATGAGAAAGAAGCATGGGAAGGATAGTGCTATAATCAATTAAAAATACATCAGAGGGGAGAATTATGGTGTAATTATGGTCAATTTACTAATGCATTTGGCCTCTTTCCTTTAGTAGATCTTAAGATATGGGTTTTTATTTTTCACAACTGTTGCAATGATTATCTAGGTCAGCCTTACACAATTATGCTAGCTGGAGATGAAGAGTGTTGTAGTCAACATGCCTGGAAGGCATCAGGTTGAAAATGACTGATCTGGACAATACTTGGAGAAAAGCACTTAACCTTTCAGTTTCCTTATGAATTATTGGAAAGCAAAATATGCTAAATTAGGATGAGAAGGAACCTCCAAGGGAGGATGAGGGATTTGGTGAGTTGTAGCATCCGCTCACCTGCACTTCTAAACTGTCATTCACAGGGGCTCTCAGAAGAGCATCCTCTCATTTTTCATAATCAGTGGGCCCCGCTGCCCTTGCTCACCATGGATAAAAGATGCCAGATCGTTAGGATCGTAAATCAGCGGTGGCACTTCAGGAGCACCAGCGTCCCATGTAATTGCAATCTCTACTGGTGATCAGAGCTATTCTGGTCCCTGGAGAAAAATAACTCACCTCTCAGCTGCTGTTGTCCTTCTCATCCATTACACCAAAGGGTGAGAGCTACAAGCACCAGGAAGCCTCATTCAGGGAATCAGTTACATAATGCACAGAGAAAAGCAGACAGTGTGTGTGATTGTGAGATCTGAATCTGAATTATTCCTATACCACATGAATTATGTACAAAAACAACAACAGCATTCAAAGAGCTGTTTTTAAAAAGAATGGCATGAAGTTCTCTCTTTCCACCCTAGGAATTCAGGGTTCAGCAGCCAGTGGAGTTTCCCGAATATATGCAGAGATCTTTCCTTCCTTCTCTTCATATTGTCTAGCATGCTGTCCTAGTCATACTGCTCAGAAAGATACCCAGGTATAACAGTGCTGGCACGCCATCATCAGAAATTACAAAGGTTTGGAAACAATGGCGGCCTGGTGCCATAGCAACTGGGAAGCTTTTGAGGACATTCAATGTATTGGTTTACATAGTTTTACAATCACAAATGTCTTTAGGAAGGGGTGGATTTTTGGTGGGGGGGATAACAGATTTACACAAATCTGTGCAGAGAAAATACGTAAAACATAGGAATGGATAATTTATTTTTTATTTTTGGTAAAGATAGGAAGCAGAGTTTGGTCATGGAATAGACCTGGTAAAACCTGAATAGCAAAATGAGACATCCAGTTACTGATTATTTTGAAAGGAAAATGAACAAACATTGATTTGTTGATTGGCCAGCTTCAAGGAAAAAGAAGTGAGCATTGATTGGCTAAAGGTTTTCTATATGCAAGTCTACAGACATGACTATGACCATAGTGTTTTAATGTCAGAATAAATCTGCAAATAGTGTAGACTCCCTATCAATCTTGGTACAATAATTATTGATCTGGATTGAGGAAGAATGGGGGATAAAAAAGTTGGGTCTTGGAAGAATAATATTCAACAGATAAAAATTTGTGATGTGGATTATCAGTGTAAGGTTGTGTCATTTGAAAAAAAAAATCAGCAGAGGATGTTGTGCAGTCATACCAATTTATACCTAATTAAAAGAACTCCTTGATGGAAAGTTTTTGGCTGGAGGCTTTATAGCAGATAATGCTTTCCTTAAAAGGCATTTAGCTTGATTTGTTTGGTTAAGTCTTCTGGAGCAATCTGCCTCTCAGGCATATTTCTGAATTACTCATAGTGGATTCTGCATTACTCACAGATATTTTGAGGATCTATGTTTGGAGATGGAGCCTGTTCAGTGTTATGAGAAGAACCAGAAAGTAACATGGTCTCTTGCCAGATTAATAAAAGGTGTTTGAAAGAATAGAATAGAATAGGATAGGATAGGATAGGATAGGATAGGATAGGATAGGATAGGATGGATAGGATAGGATAGGATAGGATAGGATAGGATAGAACAGAAACAGAACAGAACAGAACAGAACAGAACAGAATAGAATTCTTTATTGGCCAAGTGTGATTGGACACACAAGGAATTTGTCTTTGGTGCATAGGCTCTCAGTGTACATAAAAGAAAAGATACATTGATTAAGAATCATAAGGTACAACACTTAATGATAGTCATAGGGTACAAATAAGCAATCAAATCATACTAGGAAACAGTCAATATAAATCATAGGATACAGCAACAAGTTACAGTCATACAGTCATAAGCGGGAGGAGATGGGTGATAGGAACGATGAGAAGATTAATAGTAATAGTAATGCAGACTTAGTGTATAGCTTGACAGTGTTGAGGGAATTATTTGTTTAGCAGAGTGATGGTGTTCGGGAAAAAACTGTTCTTGTGTCTAGTTGTTCAGTTGTCAAGGATGCGAGACTGCCACTTTCACTATTGCAAAATAATTCCTTTTAAGGAAAAGCTATGGTACCAAATAAAACCAATAAACTGAATCACAAAAACTATCCAGATTGGTTAGATTTGTGCAATGCATTAAGTCACACACATAGAAAAAATAAAATCCAAATTAACAGTAATCATGCTTATCACATTGTACAAAGGAATCGTTAGGTCTCTTGCTGACCTCACTAAGCATTTGGGCGAACCCAGCCAGCAAGTATTTTTAGAAACAGGAGTCTTTTCAAATGAATAACAAATCATTGCACATTTATTGCACACATAGGATCTGTCTTTTGCAAAGACCGTGACATTACCACTTTTTGTTCACAAAAACTTGCCTTGAAAGAAGAACTACTCTAGGTGGGCTGTATAAATCTGGATGACTATAAGCAGAAAGAATTAAGAGCTTTCTCTATGTCTTCATAGACATTTATTAGTTGTGCACATTTTTGCAGCCTCCCAGATGTGGCATGAATAGCTAAAACACATGTGAGTGTGAAAAACAGTGTATTACATTGCAAGCTGGACATTTAATTCATCTCATAGCTTCTCTCTATAATATATACATAATCTTTGAAGACTGTAAAGAGGGTGAGAGAGAGGAGATGATATCACCAATATTTAATATTAGGGCTTCTCTCAAAATATATGTTAAACTTCCCAGAGTCAGTATACATCATTTTCATTACACCAATTATTGCAGTAAATAAAGGAGGGAGGGTGGGAACCAGTTATGTGCCCCCAAATGTCAGTACCTCTGTTGCAAGAAATCTATTCCTTGGCTAGCTGCTAAGATGAAATGTGAGGATTTTAAAGAAGACAAATCTCTATTTTAAGATGCCATGAAATGGAAAGATTCATAGTTTCGCGTCCGGTTTAAAAAAATAAGAAGTCTAAGAAGCAAAAGCAAGGGGTATGAAATTAACAATTAGTATCTTATATTAGATGGAATGAATACTTGGTTGTATCATTTTCTAGCCTTTCAAAGATGCTCTTTTAATTATCATAATTATTTCTATATGTACAATAATGTATCAACTTCTTTTAGACTGTGTGTGATGCATATTATTATTCTGAGGATTAATAAGCATCCTGCCTAATGATAGGTAATTTATAGTTGAGATGTTCACTAACTTGGGATTTAAGAAAACTGGGAGTCAGTATACCCAAAACTATTGGGGGATTAATGTATGTGGGCCTGGGGAGCTCTTTGGAAAAATTCTGACTGAAAGAACAAAAGATACGACAATGAGCAACATTTGGGGAATGCTTTAAGAATTTATGCTGGGCAACAATGGGCAAATCAGATTTTTGCTATTTAGCTGGTCATTGAGAAATATATTCACATAAGAACGTTAACAATGTGTATGTTGCTTTAGGGAAAGCACATGAGACATAATGAATAGGGTTAAGTTATTATAAAATTTTTGAATGAATACGAAGTTAAAGATTGCTTGCTGAATGTAGTATGAGTGGAGTATACTAAAGCATACATGAAAATAAGCTAAATGTTTGGTGAATGGACCAGCATTAAGCAGGAAATAAGACAAGGATGTATAACAACCCCTTGATGATTTACTGAATTTATTATCACTTTAATAATAATAATGTTAAAGATGTGAATGTGTGTATATGTTTGTTGGTGAATGAAGGCTGTGATTTATAGAAAATATTAGAGTAATATTAATATAGATGATTGCGTAACTTGCTAAAATGTTTACTAAAATGGGAAAATGGGTAGAGACATTTTAAGATGCACAAATCTTAGCAGAAATGTGTATATGCGGACTGTTGCAAAAATAGCAATATATAACAGCATTTGCCCTTGTTCTTATAACAAAATGAGAGTTGGTATGTCAAGAGAAGCACAGAAGTTGAAGGCAGCAAGAATGGTTACTTAAGAAGTATTTGTGATGGAAGAAGAGATAAATTCAAGAATGCCTGGGTGCTGAATAAATGCAGATTGAAAGGAAAAATGAGTGATTGGTACAGTGCAACAGAATTACATTGTAGTGATTTGGTTATTTAGAGAATGAGAGAGGATTCAGTTGTAAGATAAATAAATGAAGGAAAAATGAATGGATTGAGAGGAAGGAGAAGATGCTCCTTTTAGTCCACAAGATTTTTGTATGATTTTACTAAAATTCTATCTTGCCCATTTCTGCATAATCAGTAAGATTTTCAAAAATGTACTTCAAAAGGTAAATGTATTTAGATGCCCAAGGACAGTAGCCAGGGAACTATGAAATTTGGCACATTTTAAGATTCACATTTGAAAAATATGATTTGGTATGGGGATTTGTAGAAATTGATTTGTCAGACATCCTTATAATAACCTGCAGAAAAAGGAACTTCTCAGTTCTGTGTATCTAAATACAACCTGATCCTAATCTGCATTGAAATTTCAAGTCTGTTCTGAAAATTTCTCATAGGATTTGGAGGCGTTAATTGTCTTCTTATGACATGCTTATCCATGATTAAATGAACCATGGTTTATTTATCCAATTTCTAAGCTGCCCAATTAAAAAAACCCAAACATCTCTGGGTGGCTTTATGAAGTTAAAAGCATACTATACTTTATTCTTGTTTGCACAATATATTGAAAACTCACCACAGGGACTGGTTTTGCACAACATGCTAGGCTAAAATGTGGCTGGCTAGCTTGTGGCATAGAATGAATGAACCATCTGTTCCTGGGTCAGCAGGCATATTTGGCTCCAGAATTTACTCTGCCTTGGGTTCCACACTCCTACTGACAGTCCCATTTCCCTGAGATATACACCTTGTTTGAAAGAAGGAGAAAAAAAAAACAGCATCAGAAGCCTGTTTCTGGAACATCAATTTATCTTCACTAGTTAACAGATAATGTCATAACAGGCTCATGTACTGTGACAAGGCAGCTCCTTAATGAGTGGAGATAAATGGCCCTAGTGACAATGCCAAAATGGCTTTTGCTGCCATTGGTGTTTAACAAGCAAGTGCATTATAGAAAGACTGGCAGTGAAGGAGAGATGCACAACTAGGGTGGAAAATAAAGCAGCTGCACTGGCTGTCTGGAACCCCTTTGCTTAAGTTCTCTGTCAGTATTCAAGGACAATCTTATTCAACCCAAGCCTTGGTTAATTTTAATCAGGACAGCTCTAACTTTAAATCAATATGCAAGCACTTCAGACTTCTGTTTGTACTTTTTCTCCCTTCCTGGTTCTTGATTTCCTGCACTCTTTTGGCTCTATTTGTTTATGCTGTGAGAGCCTTTCTCTCATTTCTCTCTCTGATGCCCCCATCAGCATACAAGAAAGAGGCTCTTTAGGTTAGAGCATAAAATCAAAATAAAGGTGAAAAGTACAACCCAGGACAACTGTGTGTTCCTGCTCAGGTTCAGCCTTTTCCTATGTTCTGCTGAAGTTGATTTCCCTGCTATTTGAAGTACTGAAAATTGGTGCAGATAGAGATAAAGTCCTGGGTCCTGTTTTGGTATACTGGGAAATTTGGTCATGCTCAGAATTTCAAGGATGA